CCCAATCCACCGATTTTTAACATTTTGCCACAATCTATAAAGAAACATTTTAATGCCATTAAAATATCCTGCTTCCCTTTCTGCTAAAGATTTAGTGATCCAATGTTTATTAGAATGGCTGCAAAGTGGTGATTTACTACCCCCCTTCCCATGTATTAGATGGAATGCTGCTCTGAGGAAGAGTTTTTTCCCTCTGAATGTGTTTTAGAATCTTAATGCACAGTGTAAAGTAGTTTTTAAAACTTGTGAAAGCACAAGGTCATCCGTAATCAATACACCACTATAATCCTGTAAATTCTCTTTTGCTAACCAATAAAAAAACATACTATTGTTGCTTAATCTGCATCTTTACTACTGAGGCTGCAACTCCATCCAATTTTACTCCCTCTCCTCTTTACATATAAAAATTGCCTCTCCAGGTATTCTGCCCATTTACATATTGGAATCTAAATGTGTCCCCTTATTTATGTGTGGTCTCTACTCTTCTATTAACTTTGTGATACTCAGTGCAAATATTTTCTCAATCCAGTATTTTGCTTTGTTTCACCTTCAAGTTTATGATTTCATGCAATAGACTATACTTTCCTTCTATGATGTATCCTTAGCTTCTGTATTTGATGAATATTTAATTCTATTTTATTTTAAATATGCTGAAAGAAAATTCTAAATTTTTAAATCCTTTATAAGTATTATGTAAGCCATCAGATCTATGTTCATGTATTTTGAGTAACGGGTCTAATATTTGTTTTTCTACCAGCTCTCCATCATCAAGTAGTAGTGAAATTTTCTCTTCCTTGAACTATATGCTTGTATATAATGGTTCTAGCTTTGGCCTATCTACTGTTTTTTACAATTATGTACACACACACACACCACATACACACACACACACACACATTTGTTTTTTTTCCCCCAGGAAAGCAATCATAATTTTCAAACTTCTTGATTCAACTATTTCTTAAAAATAGCCTATAAAAATATCTAATGGAATAATCCCTTTTTTCAACATATATTTCTAGTTTAATTTCATGGTGATTAGAGTTTGCATTCAGCACAATTCCTGTTAATTTATAAGTTTTACAGTGTTTTTATCACAGTCTTCTGAATGTATGATTAATTTTTATAAATGCTTCATATTTTGATAAGAAGACATATGATCTGTAGGGTAAAATTCTACTATGTATTATTCATTATATATATAAAAATCTATTGTTCCTTTATATTCCTAAGTACTTCTGTCTTCTTCATTTGTCAGACTTAAGATATATTAACTTCCGAGTTCTAACAGCCTTTGCCTTAGGTTTGTACTTGTTATTTGGATCAAGGGACTCAGAGTACTATGTCCTCTCTGCAGACCCTGCCTTTTGCTGATATAAAATAGTATTCTCTGCTGTGCTCTGACTCCCCTCTTAATAGGTTGTATTTCGAGCTTCAGGCCACCTTCAGGCACCAACAGCAATAAAGTATTGGGAAGTAGGGGAACCAGGGGGCAAGAATTAGAAAGTTTAATTAGAAATTGTAATCTTAAAATTTTAAATCAGCAGTATTTCCTATAAACTGTTCCAAATCCAAAGGCTGGTTGAGTAATCATTTATGTCATCTACCGAGGTGAACAAGGTGGGTAATTCACAGAAAAGAATAACCCCAAAGCACCCCAACATGGAATGAGAATGTTTTGGCAACGCCACTCTGAGTTACCATCAAGGAGCTCACAAATGGGCGTCTGTGTTCAGTCATGGGGCCACTGTCCGTCGTACGTTCGGGCTAAAGGCCAAAGCTGCCCCAGGCTCGCACAGGGAAGAACAATTAAGTTACCAAAGCCTACATCTGCAGATACTTTTATTTTCAAGACTCATTTCTGTTTCTTTAATTAAGGCTTTCAGCTTTAACCAGAGTTATCATCTCAGGAGAGTATCTAATGCACTGAGCCCTCTGATATAAAATCCAAAAATGTGTAACACAAACACAGAAAGCAGAATGTATCATCAAAGGAGACTGTTTCATACCTGTCTTCTCGAATGAAACATGACAGTGATTTTTCTAATTGTTTTCCAAATTATACATTCAGCTAATATATCACATAGTATAATGGGGTTTTATAAATGTTTTAAATAGAGTACAATAAAATTGAAACTGCACTTATTTATTCCTGTGTCCTGCTAAGTAGACATAGCTGAAATCTACCCAGGTAAATGGAAAAGCTTATTTTCAAAAATGGTTTCCCTCTTTTTTCCTGCCAAGTTCCCAACTTTTGCCCACCGGGTAATGGAGTTAGCTCTAAGCATGAAACCTAATAGACAGGAGAGGAAGTAGAGCTGAAAAATCAAAAACAGCTCCTGAGAACACGATGGGATTCAGTTACTCTGTGTGGACAGCATCACCCTTTGCATGTTTTCAGATTCATGGCCTTGCTCACACAGGGCTTCTTCACTCTGAACACGAGCCCACATCTCTCGTATTTCATCCCATATTTGCCCCTTGAGGCCTGTCGCATGCAGAAGAACTGTGTGGACAGAAGAATTAAGTTGTAATGGGTGCAGGCAACTGTGAATGCTTCTCAGCACTGCAGTCAGTCAGGTGCAGGTCTCCTGGGCACCACGGATTCTGCAGGGCCAGGGCTTTGCCTCCTGGCTCCTGCAGTGACCAGCGACCCTCGGGCTGCCCACCAGAACCCACGTTGAGTTCTGTCTTGTCTGTTTGACAGATGACATCGACTGTGGTTCCATGTTAAGGAGACCTGTTTTAAGTGCCAATGAGCTATCCTAACCCATCAGTTCTAAGGAAACAAAATCTACCACGGGCGTTGTATAGATATTTTAGGAAAATGATAGCATTCACACTTATTCACTAAGGTCCTGCACAAGCTAGATGTTTAAGTCCCTTAGTACACCTCCTTATTAAAGTATAAACATTAAGGAAATGACTTTTTAAAAAATAAATGTGTAGTTTTTACGGGCATTTTATATTTTTCATCTATTTCTATAAGTTGTATTATAAATATTTTGCTAATAGTGCTATTAGCAAAATCAGTATTTTCAGTTGACACTTTTACATTAGTATAGCTTAGACTGCTAGTTAGGTAAGTAATGAAAACAATCCAGAAAAATCAAACTTGTGCTGCTTTTCAAGAAATCTTTCAACTTGTGTGTGAAAGAATTTGCCCTCACTAGGCTTGCTTATGTGCAGGGTTAATTATTAAACAGATAAGGTAACATTTACTTAAAAGTAGCCCCAAGTTATGCCTACAGAAGCGTTCAAAGCCGATCTCCTGGGGAAAGAATATATTTCCCCTATGAAATGAGGCTGCCGTGGAGTAGTAGGGAAGATGGGCATTTTTCATTGCTTATGGTTTTATATTGTTGGAAATATTTCAATGAGCATGTGGTCGTCTTGTTATTTTTAGTAACTTAGATTAGAACAAGGACAACGAAGGACCACCCCCTGCCTGCCCTCTCTGCTCTGGTGTGGCTCCCAGGGAGTGCTGTCTCGGGCCAGTCACTCATCCGTCCTCTGCTTCGGGTTCCTCACTGGTGAAACGGGGGTAAGGATGGCACGCACCTCAACGGGCTCTTGGGAGGATTAAATGAATTCATAGCCCCAGTGACTTAACACAGTGCCCAGCAGAGGGCACCCGCCCCGAGCGGAAGGTCCGAACCCTGGGTCTGTACGCGCCGACGTGCGGGGCTAGAGCACCGCCTGCCTCTGGGAGCTGCTTTCTCCTCCGTGCCGGGGAGGAGAGCGCCGGTTCGGAGCTCCCACGGGGTTAACGGCCACTGTGCGTGTGCAGAGCACCAAGCGCTGGGCCTGGCCCTCTGTGTGTACTGAGCAAGTGGAAGCAATTTGTGTGGTGAAAATCTGCAGGAACTGAGGGTTTTCTGTACAACACTGCAGCAAAATAAAATTGAAAGCCTCTTTCTAATGAGACCTATTCTCCCCGCCATAGCGTGGTCAGCTGGTCCACTTCAAACACCCTCCCCCCAACTCTGCCTGGCCTTAATATTTGAGGCACTAAGTCATTCACAAGCAGTGGTATTTGTCTGTAACCACACTGGCTGGCACGTGTACATTGTGTGTAAATGTAAGTGGCCATCTCTGTCACAGTGGCCACGGGACCCCCAGTGCCTAGACCAGTACCTCCCACCCCACAGGTACAAATGAGTATTTCCTGAATGATACGAACAAATGAACCTAGGAAAACCTGGAGGCGCCAAGCATTTGCTTGGCTGAAGTTCGTGACTGCTCCCGTACATAGGAGGCCCACTGAGGAGGACGTGGAATTCTGTCCAGACACCGGGTGGACCTGAGTTGTCAGACCTGGGTTCCAGTCTCAGCTCCACCCTGGCTGACGTGGATAACTCCCGAGACTCAAGTCCCCTTCATCCAGCTTTAAGGCGGCTTCCAGCTCCCACATTCCACCCCTAGCCCTGAGTTCTAGAGCACCCGGCAGAGGCTGAGACGAGGACTTTCCCCTCATCTGGAGTCTACTCTAAGCCACCAGTCACTCTGTTCGTTGCAGGGGGAGAAAGAACTGAAGCGGCTGCCTTACACTTCCACTGGCATGGCCTCTGTTTATGTCTAGGTCCACTCTCAACTCCCAGTGCCTGCAATGGTTTGGCACTGAGTTGGGCGGGGGGGTGGGGGGAGCACCTGAACCTATGAGCATGGTTAGTGCACACATGACGGACTTCAGAGCAACATCACTGTGGAAACAATAAGAGAGAAACAGGGCAAATGGACCGCATGAGGAACACACAGAAGGCAGGAAAGCTCATGCACGCGTGCACTGCAAAAGCACTGTGGCCGGCAGAAGGTGGCACACAGCCGAGCAGAAAAGGTGGAGGACAGTCTGAGAAAAGCACACGCCCACAGCCAACCAGGCTCTGGCAGACCCCTCAAACCCGGGGAGGAGACTTCTCACCACCACCCACAGACAAAGCGCTACCAGCTTTTCTCCATACGCGTGGTGCCGGGGCCCATCCCAGCCTGCCGCGGGGGCCTACCTTGCAGTGAGTGGTGCTGACCGGAAGTCCGATGTTGGAGGCAATCACCACCGTGAACGCGGAGGCCAGCTCAATGGTGAAGCCGCTGCGGGGGCGGGGGCACAGGACATTCATCACAGGCGCTCTTTGTTCCGACCCGCTGACCCCCAGGGGCGTAAAGTCTCCCCAGAACACTCTGGGCCCACTGTGGACTGCTACTGGCCAGATGACAGTAATAGAACAAGAAACTGCTGCATAATAGCAGCGATTCACACTAAGACTTTGCATTATCCTGTTGATGGTCCTAAATGGCCTTGTTTTTCTGATGTTTTCCAAACCACCCACTGTGGTAACTGGGTCAGCAATTACTGCTGTGCAGAAAATGTTATATTCATCAGTTCTGAAGTGGCACGAAGCCATACTCTTGTTTTTAAAATATTGTACTTAAAAAAGGAAATTTTTCTGAGGATTACTAATTTTTCTTAAGTCATTTATAGAAATCTGTCATTAAAATGAATTTCAAGGGGAAAGATTTCTTACAATTGGTAGTCCCAAATTTTGGCTGTATTCTGAAAATTCTCTTCTAAGTTGTTACTTAACCCAAATATATCTAAAGGATGCACAATAGAAGGACCACACAGAAAACGGAGCAGGGCTGCAGATGCCACCTAGGGGCACCTACAATCCAGATGTGCTGCTGGGAGGATGTACCAGGCAGCCCTGGAAGCCAGCCAGGAAGAGCTGCTTCCAACCAGCAGGTGGAGCTGGTGAGGCAGACACTGCTAGGAATCGCAGCCCTGGGGCCTGGGCAGGTTTCCCCCAGCCTCCCACTTGCTTGCTGGGTCAGACCACCAGGGGGCACGGCCTTGGGCAGGAGGGCGGGTCAGCTTCTCCTTCCTTCTAGCCTCCTAGTCTCTCATTTTCTCTCCTCATCTCAGAGCCACTGTGGATGTGGCTGAGGACACAGGCGGGAGGGTAAGGATGGGTGGCAAGCCAAGGAGAGTGCATCTCACCCTGCCCCTCTCCTCGCTGGGACCCCACTGCCCAGGGGCCACTCTGGGTGGCTGCGGTGGGGAGGCTCACAGACCTGGCCTGGGCGCGCTCCGGCCTACCTCGATGGTGTGATCGGAGTGAGGTCTTTCCCCATGGTCTGGATCACTCTCCGCCCCCAGATCCAGAGGCCGGTGCAGATTCCCACTCCTCCATAGAGCAGCAGCCAGATGGGAGTCCCTTCCTCTTGCAGGACAGCACCCTGCTTATAAATCAGCCACAGAGCTACCAGGGGGCCAATGGCATTACTGAGAGGAAAAAAGACATTAATTTTATAAACACTGTACATACATATAAACATACAGTGACTTCTCAGTCTTGAGGAAGGGCTGCCCTGTATTTGTGGCTCACCTACATAATCTAGGGGTGACCAACATGATTCATGAATTTTTTGTATTGTGGTGGAAAGAATGATATAAAATTTACCATCTTGCCCATTTTTAAATGTCCAGTTCACTAGTGTTGAGCATATTCTACACTGTTGGGAAACATCTCCAGAACTTTTGTATCTTGTAAATCTGAAACTCTTTACCTGTTAAACAGTGACCCCCTTTGTCTCCTCCCCCTGCCCCTGAGAACCACCCCTTCTATTGTCAGTCTCTATGAATCTGATGGCTCTAGGGACCTCATATCAGTGAAATACAGTATTCACTTCGCATACTGTCCTCCAGATTCATCCATGTTGTAGCAGGTGTCAGAATTTCTTCCCCTTTTAAGGCTGAGTAATATTCCATTGTTCATGTAGACCACATTTTCCTTATCCACTAATCCATCAACGCACCCTTGGGTTGCTCCCACCTCTCGGCTAGTGTGAATAATGCTGCAGTGGACACAGGAGTACAGATACTTCTTTGAGACCTTTGCCTTCAATTCTTTTGGGTACACACTCAGAAGTGGGTTGTCTGGATCATATGGTAGCCTATTTTGAATTTTTTGAGGAGCCTCTGGACTATTTCCTATAGCAGTTCCACTATTTTACTTTCCCACCAACAATGCACAAGACTTTCAATTTCTCCACATCCTCGCCAACACCTGTTATTTTCTTTTTTCTTTTTTATAATAGCCATCTTAATGGGTATGTGATGTGTTAGTTTTAGAAGTGCGGGCGGGGGGAAAATCACAAGTGGACGCAAAAACCAAGTTCTTTTTCCTCTTCCTTTTTTTCTCTATTTTGTTCCATTTTTCATTGCCAGCATTATTACTAATATTAGCTACCAGTCTGGGGCAGCCAGGTCAGGCCCCACACTATGGGACTGCAGATATCACTGTGCATCATTAGTTCACACCCACCCCGCCAACTATGTGTTGTCACTCCTGCTTCCCGATAAGGAAACCAGACGCAAAGTCCCATCATCAGCAGGAGGCAGGATGGGGTCGTGGGCTCAGGACTCAGGCACCCAGGCCTTGTCCGCTAGACGTGCTGTTGTCACTCCAGCCCTTGGCAGCCACACACTGGTTTGGGGGAGTATGCCATGGCTTTTTATAAATTTTTCTTAAACTAAGATCTTATTTCTTTAGAAGAATTTAAGGTCCACAGCAAAACTGAGAGGAAGGTACAGAGATTTCCCCTAAGCCCCTGGGCCCCATGCATGCACAGCCTCCCCAGTTATCAACATCCCCACCAGCAGGACGTTTGTTACAACTGAGGAACCTGCACCGATGCATCAGAATCGCCCAACATCCACGGTGTGCTTTGGGCTCACTCCTCGTGGTCTACAGTCTATGGGTGCCTTCAGCTTTCTCCCCACTCCAACACCTGCTCTTTTCACTGTCTCTAGTTGTGCCTCTTCCAAATGTCACCTGGCTGGGCTTACACAGCGTGTAGCCTTTACACATCGACTTCTTTCACTTGGTGATGTGCATTTTCATGGTTTGATAGCTCGTTTCTTTAAGTTCTAATTAATATTCCATTGTCTGGATGTACCACAGTTTATTTACCAATTAATCTACTAAACAACCAAGATGCACTTCACTAAAATTAGAAACTTCCACACAGCTGAAGGACATCTTGGCTGTTTCCAAGTTTTGTCACTTATGAATAAAAGCTGCTATAAACATCTGTGCACAGGTTTTTGTGTGGACACAGGTTTTCAACTCATTTGGTAAATACCAAGGAGCATGACTTGGCTGGATCACGTGCTAAGAGTACATGCGAAACCACCAAACTGTCTTCCACAGCGGCTGTGCCCTGCTGCATTCCCACCGGCACTGAGGAAGCTCCTGCTGCTGTGCCCCATTCTTGTGAGCATTGGCTGCTGTCAGTGTTCTACACTTGGCCGTTCTAACAGTTGTGAGGTGCTATCATGTTTTAATTTGCATCTCCCTGATGACATGATATAGAGCAACTTTTCTTGTGCTTATCTGCCATATGTGTATCTTCTTTTGTGAGGTGTCTAGTAAGATACCTGGTCCATTTTTTATTGGGTTGTTTGTTATCTTATTCTTGGGTTTTAAGAGGTCATTGTATACTAGCCCTTTATCAGATGTGTTTCTTGAAGTTTCTCTCAGTTTGTGGTTTGTTTTCTCATTCTCTTGACATTGTCTTTTGCTGTGCAGAAGTTTCTCATTTTAGTGAAGTGCAGCTTATCTTATTTAGTGAAATCCATTAAGTTTTCATGGACTATGCCCTTGGTGTTGTATCTAAAAGGTCATCTAGGTTTTCTCCTGTGTTGACTGCTAGGAGTTTTATAGTTTTGCTTGTAGGTTTGTGATTCATTTTAAGCTAATTTTTTTAGCATTATGATAGATCAAAAACTTGCACACATTATTGGTGGAAGTACTGATCTATTTTTTTTTGAGAGGGCATCTCTCATATTTATTGATCATATGGTTGTCAACAACAATAAAATTCTGTATAGGGGACTCAATGCACAATCATTAATCAACCCCATGCCTAATTCTCAACAGTCTCCAATCTTCTGAAGCATAACGAACAAGTTTTTACATGGTGAACAAGTTCTTACATAGTGAATAAGTTCTTACATGGTGAACAGTGCAAGGGCAGTCATCACAGAAACTTTCGGTTTTGATCATGCATCATGAACTATAAACAATCAGGTCGATTATGATTATTCGTTTGATTTTTATACTTGATTTATATGTGAATCCCACATTTCTCCCTTATTATTATTATTATTATTTTTTTTAATAAAATGCTGAAGTGGTAGGTAGATGCAAGATAAAGGTAGAAAACATAGTTTAGTGCTGTAAGAGGGCAAATGTAAATGATCAGGTGTGTGCCTATAGACTAAGTATTAATCCAAGCTAGACAAGGGCAACAAAACATCCACGGATGCAGAAGTTTTCCATTTTGAGCTAATTTTTTGTGAAGGGTGTAAAGTCTGTGTCCAGATTTTTTTGCAAAGGTGAAGACTCAGTAGTTCCAGCATCGGTTGTTGAAAAGGCTCTCTTTGCTCCTTTGTATTGCCTTTGTTTTTAGTCAAATATCAGTTGGCTATATTTAGGCCTATTTCTGGGTTCTTTACTCTGTTTCAATGATATTTTTGTCTATTCTTTCACCAACACCACACTGTTTTGGTTACTGTAAGTTTATAATAAGTCTTGAAGTCAGGTAGTTTCAGTCCTCCAAATCTGTTCTTTTCTTTCCATATTGAGTTGGCTATTCTGGGTTTTTACCTCTCCATATAAACTGTATAATCAATTTGTCAATATCCACAAAATAATTTGCTGGGATCTCTATTGAGACTGCATTGAATCTATAGATGAGGATGGAAAGAACTGACATCTTGACAATATCGAGTCTTCCTATCCTTGAACCTGGTGAATCTATTTAGTTCTTGGATTTCATTTTCCACACAGAAAGAAAAGGACAAAGTTGGAGGACTGAAACCACCCGACTTGTACATATTTTGTGAAATTTATACCTAAGTATTCATTCTTGGGAGTGCTAATGTAAACAGTACTATGTTTTTAACTTCAAATTCCATTTGTTCATTGTTGGTATGAGGGGAAAGTGATTGACTTTGGTATATTAACCTTGTATCCTGCCACCTTGCTATAATTGCTAGTTAGTTCCAGGAGTTTTTTTGGTTGATTCTTTCTGATTTTCTCCATAAATGATCATTCCATCTGCAAAGCCAATTTCAATCCTCTCCCATCTGTATACCTTTCATTTCCTTGTCTTCTTGCATCAGCTGGGACTTCCAGCACAGCGTTGAAAAGCAGTGGTGGGACACATGCCTGCCTTGTTTCTGATCTTAGTGGGAAAGGTTTGAGTTTCTCACTATTAGGTACAGTGTTAGCTGTAGTGTTTTTATAGATATTCTTCATCAAGTTGAGGAGGTTTCCCTCTATTCCTAGTTTCCTGAGAGTTTTTATCATGAACAGGTGGATTTTGTTAAATGCTTTTTCTCTACCTATTGCTATGATTATGTGATTTTTCTTTTTTAGCCTATTGATATGTTGGATTAAAGTTAATCCATCTTTGACTCTTGAACCAGCCTTTTGGTATGCCTTGTAATTTCTTCCTGATCGCCAGACATGATGTACTGGGTATAGGGAACTGCTATAAACAGGCCTTTGGGAATCAGGTGTGGGGGGAGTGGAACGTTCTACAGTCTTACATGAGTCTGTGCCTCCGGGCTGCGACCTGCACAAGTGCTCCTCAGTTTATTTCTCCCCCTTTATGAAGGACAGGATGGCTCCTGCGGACTGGAGTTGGCATTTCCCTTCTCCCCAGCTGTGACAGCAGCCCAGCAGGTGAGGCCTTGGCCACCTCCCTCCCCTGTGGGCAGGCCTGGGAACCGAGCGCTCTGGCCTGTCAGAACGGCCACCTCCCTCCGGCCCCATGGAAGCAGATGTTTCTTCTCTGATATTCACTGTGAGGACCTGCTTGAGCTCCTAGAGGTAAAACTCACAATACTGTGTCCCCCACCCTGCCACCCCTCCCACCAAAATGGAGGCCCCCTGGCGTCTTTCTCAGGTTTGCCACACTGGGCCTTTGAGATTCCTCGTCCCGGGTCAGCTCTGCCTGCCGTCACTGGTCCCCAGGTGGTCTCCACGGCGTCTCCCCCCATGACTCCCTGTATCTGCTAGCCTTGTGTCCTCCAGTTTTGGGGTGCTCGTTTGTCTCGTGTCCCCCCTTAGATCCAAGAAGGGCTATTGATTTTGTTCTGTTTTTTACTTGCTGTTAGGATGGAGTGACAACTTCCATGCTCCTTTCATACAGAATCACACACAGGCTTTTAACAGCTTCTGTAGCTCCAGTTGCCTCCTCCCAGCCCAGCTCACTACTCTGTGTAGACAGAGTGTAGACAGAGTTGGCTGAGAGTAACAAAGAACTGGCTCTCACGTCTGCTTCTCTCTAGCTGTGTGACCCTGGGCAAGAAGTGTCACATTTCTGAGCGTCAGACTCCCTGTCTTTGGAGGACATCCCTTAGGAGCTCCATGGGCAGTTTTGAGAAGGATTAGTGAGTTACAAATGGTTCGGCACTGAGGCCTGGCACTTAATAACCTTTTGTTGAATGAATGAAGTCCCCTCACTGCCGCACTAGAACCTGGGTTTAACCTGACCGTTTCCCCTCAGGAGCCTCAAAAGCAGCCCCAGTCTGGAAGCAACTGCTCTGAACTCTGCCCCCGCAGCGGTCTCTCCCTAGATGCTTCCTTTGGCCCTGAAATCCCGGTTCGGGACGGCTTGTTACTTTCCCTGGGTGTGTTCTTCTTGTCTCCCTAACTGGAATTTAAACTCCTGAAGCATAAGAAACCAGCACATAACACTGCCAGTACCAGGCCTTCAATAAAGAATTCTTGATAAGGAGGAGGAAGAAATGGGCTGGTGCGGGGTGGGAGGGGGTAATCAAAAAATTAAGACAAGGTAGAACACGGAGCCTCATACAGCATGGCAACACCTGGGGCATGTGAGAGGCAGAGCGGCAGATGCTCAGCCTCTTGTCTGGCGGGAAGACTTCTTTTAAAAAGAACGGAAACACAGATGTGCATGGTGGAGTGTGTGGGAACCCACGGCTGTAAAATGGGGCCACATAACCAGGCTGTAAAAAGTGCTGCAACAGTGTGTTCTCCCTATCTGGACACACGAGTGCTGCATGATGACCACACAGCAGCGATGGTGAAAATGCACAGAAACCGATGAGAACCCCGTCCTGTGCAGGCTCTATAGGGCATCGCGATCCTCACGGAGGCCCGTGAGGGCGGCACTAGTTCTACCTCATTCTACCGACTGGTACCCTGAGGATTCGGGTAAGGTGCCCTGAGGAACGCCACCCAGCCAGTAGCAGAGTCCACCTACCCCTACAGTCTGGTCCATGGCCTGCTGACCGTGTGGGCCACACCCTCTCTGTGGCCTCCCTGCTCTTCCCAGGGCGGGCCAGGCGTGCTCCTGCCTCAGGCCTTTGCACCTGCCGTTCGGCTCACAGGCTGGCTCCCGGCCCCTGCGCCTCTCCTCCGTGGGCCTTACCCCGGCGGCCCGTCCAGCATGGCACTCGGCAGATGCTCCCGCCCGCTGGCCCACCTCATGTTGCCCTTCAGCACTGGGGGGTGTAGGCCCCATACCAGCTGCATTTGCCCAGCACCGGCGCACGGCACACGGACTCACCTCACGTCATTGCCACCGTGCGCGAAGGACCCGAAGCAGGCGGTGAGCACCTGCAGGAAGTGGAACAGTAGGTGCACCTCGGCGGTGTCCTTCTCCTCCTTTTCCTCCTCCACCAACTCCTCCCCGGCCTGGAGGGCGTCCGCCAGCTCCGAGGCCAGCTTCACTTCCACACCGCCCTCGTCCGCCTCGATCTCGGCCTCGGCCACCGCGTTGCAGTAGCTGGAGTAGCTGTCGTAGCGAAGCCGCTTCTTGGAGTAGGACACGGCGTCGGCCACCAGCTTCTCGCTGTCCTCGGGCGCTGGCCCGGGGGCCCTGCAGGCGGCAAGCGCGGGCAGCCCGCAGATGGCCGCTGTATAGCACGTGTAGCTGTTGTTGCGGCGCAGCAGCCGGTAGCCGCTCTCGGGCGCCGCCCGCTCCCCAGGGCCGCCGTCGGAGCGCATGCGGTGCAGCAGGTCCTTGTAGAGCCCCGAGTCTTTGTGCACCGTGTGGTACACGTGCGCGTCGCTCCTCGGCACGCCGTCCAGGCCGAAGGTGCCGTTGGACACGGGCGACTTGGCGGCGCCGGGGGTCATGGAGAAGGCCCTGCCTGGGCAGGAGGGAAGGCGCTCACCTCCGGGCCTTGGGGGTAAGGCTTCTGGAAGGAGGTTCCCCCACCCCCTGTGGTGTTTACCCCTGCAGGCCTGGAGTGTGGGACATGTGCATTTCTTCCCACACGCCTTATTCCCTACCTTGACTACGCAGGACATATGATATGGTTAAAATAAAAAGGCAAGCTTAGAAACATGTAACAAAAGGCTAAAATGAATGATGAGGCCCTTCAAAAATAATGTTAAAGTGTCTTCTGGAAACCCCTATAGCACTATTGTTTCTAGGGCCAATAAAGGTAGAATCCACAGAGGGAACTTACTTTAGAAGCACTTCACACATGGGGGTGAACCCAGTCCTCTGTGACGTAGATCCCCATGCCCCCAAAGGCTCACACTGGGCCTTTGAGATTCCTCGTCCCGGGTCAGCTCTGCCTGCCGTCACTGGTCCCCAGGTGGTCTCCACGGCGTCTCCCCCCATGACTCCCTGTATCTGCTAGCCTTGTGTCCTCCAGTTTTGGGGTGCTCGTTTGTCTCGTGTCCCCCCTTAGATCCAAGAAGGGCTATTGATTTTGTTCTGTTTTTTACTTGCTGTTAGGATGGAGTGACAACTTCTATGCTCCTTTCATACAGAATCACACACAGGCTTTTAACAGCTTCTGTAGCTCCAGTTGCCTCCTCCCAGCCCAGCTCACTACTCTGTGTAGACAGAGTGTAGACAGAGTTGGCTGAGAGTAACAAAGAACTGGCTCTCACGTCTGCTTCTCTCTAGCTGTGTGACCCTGGGCAAGAAGTGTCACATTTCTGAGCGTCAGACTCCCTGTCTTTGGAGGACATCCCTTAGGAGCTCCATGGGCAGTTTTGAGAAGGATTAGTGAGTTACAAATGGTTCGGCACTGAGGCCTGGCACTTAATAACCTTTTGTTGAATGAATGAAGTCCCCTCACTGCCGCACTAGAACCTGGGTTTAACCTGACCGTTTCCCCTCAGGAGCCTCAAAAGCAGCCCCAGTCTGGAAGCAACTGCTCTGAACTCTGCCCCCGCAGCGGTCTCTCCCTAGATGCTTCCTTTGGCCCTGAAATCCCGGTTCGGGACGGCTTGTTACTTTCCCTGGGTGTGTTCTTCTTGTCTCCCTAACTGGAATTTAAACTCCTGAAGCATAAGAAACCAGCACATAACACTGCCAGTACCAGGCCTTCAATAAAGAATTCTTGATAAGGAGGAGGAAGAAATGGGCTGGTGCGGGGTGGGAGGGGGTAATCAAAAAATTAAGACAAGGTAGAACACGGAGCCTCATACAGCATGGCAACACCTGGGGCATGTGAGAGGCAGAGCGGCAGATGCTCAGCCTCTTGTCTGGCGGGAAGACTTCTTTTAAAAAGAACGGAAACACAGATGTGCATGGTGGAGTGTGTGGGAACCCACGGCTGTAAAATGGGGCCACATAACCAGGCTGTAAAAAGTGCTGCAACAGTGTGTTCTCCCTATCTGGACACACGAGTGCTGCATGATGACCACACAGCAGCGATGGTGAAAATGCACAGAAACCGATGAGAACCCCGTCCTGTGCAGGCTCTATAGGGCATCGCGATCCTCACGGAGGCCCGTGAGGGCGGCACTAGTTCTACCTCATTCTACCGACTGGTACCCTGAGGATTCGGGTAAGGTGCCCTGAGGAACGCCACCCAGCCAGTAGCAGAGTCCACCTACCCCTACAGTCTGGTCCATGGCCTGCTGACCGTGTGGGCCACACCCTCTCTGTGGCCTCCCTGCTCTTCCCAGGGCGGGCCAGGCGTGCTCCTGCCTCAGGCCTTTGCACCTGCCGTTCGGCTCACAGGCTGGCTCCCGGCCCCTGCGCCTCTCCTCCGTGGGCCTTACCCCGGCGGCCCGTCCAGCATGGCACTCGGCAGATGCTCCCGCCCGCTGGCCCACCTCATGTTGCCCTTCAGCACTGGGGGGTGTAGGCCCCATACCAGCTGCATTTGCCCAGCACCGGCGCACGGCACACGGACTCACCTCACGTCATTGCCACCGTGCGCGAAGGACCCGAAGCAGGCGGTGAGCACCTGCAGGAAGTGGAACAGTAGGTGCACCTCGGCGGTGTCCTTCTCCTCCTTTTCCTCCTCCACCAACTCCTCCCCGGCCTGGAGGGCGTCCGCCAGCTCCGAGGCCAGCTTCACTTCCACACCGCCCTCGTCCGCCTCGATCTCGGCCTCGGCCACCGCGTTGCAGTAGCTGGAGTAGCTGTCGTAGCGAAGCCGCTTCTTGGAGTAGGACACGGCGTCGGCCACCAGCTTCTCGCTGTCCTCGGGCGCTGGCCCGGGGGCCCTGCAGGCGGCAAGCGCGGGCAGCCCGCAGATGGCCGCTGTATAGCACGTGTAGCTGTTGTTGCGGCGCAGCAGCCGGTAGCCGCTCTCGGGCGCCGCCCGCTCCCCAGGGCCGCCGTCGGAGCGCATGCGGTGCAGCAGGTCCTTGTAGAGCCCCGAGTCTTTGTGCACCGTGTGGTACACGTGCGCGTCGCTCCTCGGCACGCCGTCCAGGCCGAAGGTGCCGTTGGACACGGGCGACTTGGCGGCGCCGGGGGTCATGGAGAAGGCCCTGCCTGGGCAGGAGGGAAGGCGCTCACCTCCGGGCCTTGGGGGTAAGGCTTCTGGAAGGAGGTTCCCCCACCCCCTGTGGTGTTTACCCCTGCAGGCCTGGAGTGTGGGACATGTGCATTTCTTCCCACACGCCTTATTCCCTACCTTGACTACGCAGGACATATGATATGGTTAAAATAAAAAGGCAAGCTTAGAAACATGTAACAAAAGGCTAAAATGAATGATGAGGCCCTTCAAAAATAATGTTAAAGTGTCTTCTGGAAACCCCTATAGCACTATTGTTTCTAGGGCCAATAAAGGTAGAATCCACAGAGGGAACTTACTTTAGAAGCACTTCACACATGGGGGTGAACCCAGTCCTCTGTGACGTAGATCCCCATGCCCCCAAAGGCCAGCTGTGGCCGTGGAAGGCAGGGGCCCGGGTCTGCAGATCCCTAAGGGACATGGGCACCGGGGCCCACCTTGCGGGAGGTGGGGATTGCCCAGGCGCAGAGGCTGGCGCCCGCCCATCATTAGCCACAAGTGTGGGACCACAGACACCCCAGGACGGCCTTGACTTCTGGAGAGTTTCTGTGACTCGGCAGTAGGGCAACCTACCTGCGTCCTCCACCAGAAAGGCCCCCTTGTGAGCTGGGTAGGCCAGGGCCCACGGGTGAGGCAGCCCTCCCACCCGGCGGGCAGCAGCGTGCCAGCCCTTGGTGCTGCCCACGAGGCTGGGGGCGGCCCTTGGAAGAAAATCCCAGGACGGGGTGGGCTTGCTCTGTCGGCCGAAGGTTCTCCTGGGGCCTTTTTAGACTCGGGTGCATTCAAACCTACCCGCCCACACGCAGGCCTCGCGGGGTCCCCAAGGAACGACTCCGCCACCAGGAAATCCCAGTCCCTGCACGCGGGTCTTACCATAGGGCGCCCGCAGGCGGCTCCCCATGGGGGCGCCCTCCGGGGCGCCCGGCGCCTCCCCCGCCGGCCCCGTGAGGGGAATGGTGCTGTCGTCCTCTGCCCGGGTGCCGGGCAGCTCTTTAAACACCGGGGACTCCACGCCCTGGATTTTACTGAGGCTTTCATCAGAGACTCTCGATAAGGAACCTTCTTTTTGTAATTTGCCTAAAGAAAAGACAGTCAAAACTGAAACTTTTCAGATAGAATTCTTACAATTGAAAAGGGAATATAACAAATGAATATTTATTTCTACACTTCAGTACTTACTCTGGAAATGGAAAAAAAAAAAGTGATGGCTGGACACAAAAACGTGGAGAGTTCAGTCAAGTACCTGGAAAATTCAAGCTGGAAAATTCACTATTGAGGAAAAGATAGAGGCTTGGCCTCAGGTATCAGGCCCAAAGCAACAAAGCAGAGAAAGGGCCAGGCCCAATCAGCGGGATCTCTTCTAGCGTAACGCTCCATAATTCTACCGTCATCTAGACTGGCCTTCTGTTTCTTAAACTAACCTCAGAATCTTTCAAATGTTTGAACTTTCTGTCTTCTGAAAATACGAGAAGATACTGTAACAGTCTGCTTGGTTTTCTTTTGTTCAATAAATTATCAGTCTCAGATTTCTTCAGGTCACCAAATCTTAGGAAACAAGTAAACCATTTTTCATAAAGGAACAGAGAGCCTACTTACTTATTAAAAAGTCCTTTACTTTAAAAAGACACAAGGGATTTTTTTTTAAAGGGCTTTAAAGTGCGACAGCATTTGTTTTGATCAAACTGGAAATGTGGTGCTGCTGGCATATTTTCCTGAGAAAATTTCTAACCTCTCACCTTCAGAGCTGAGATGGAAATATTCTTCTCAGTTCCTCTGCTGGACACACTCACCTATAAATCTCTATCTCTATCATTTTTTTTATGTCTATCTAGATAAACAGATTTTTTTAACATGAAATTTCTGGTTTGTATTACAGGGAACAAAGTAAGGTACATACAAGATCTCTGAACTGAAGTTGCTTATGATCTAGATGAGACAGGATGGTATTTGTCAAGATTTGTAATATTAAAAACAAAAACTGTTAACACTTAGACGAGATAGGTAATATTATTTTCTGCATTTTACTAATGAGCAAACTGAGGCACAGAGAGATGGAGCCCAGAGTCAGAGAGGTGGTAAATGCACTCTAGTTGTATGGCCCTTGCCGTTAATCACCAGTCTTGTTCTTAAAACAACATGAAGCGTTCTTTTGAAATATATTGAAATGTCAGAATCTATGGCCTTGACAAAACAATCTCTTGGGGCAGTTGGGGAGCAATGTCAGTTTCCTGCTGTGACATTATAGCCTAATGCTGGAAAGCAAAGATCTTATTGTCCTTTGATGAGAAGGTTCAGTTAATAGGAAAGATTTTAAAAATCAAGGCATTTAGGGTTGTTTACCCTTCCCATGAGGTTAAGTCAGGCAGGCAGTATTTTCGGTGGGGAGCTCATCTTAGACTAGCACTCCGTGTGAACAGAGGTGATATTTATTCTCAACAAAGAGCAGGAGCATCTACATGAGAGAGCAAGAAGCAGCTGGTTACCCATCTGTCATCAATGTGGCTTGATTATTTAGTTTGAAGTTGTAGGTATTATGGTGAATTTTTTATTATTGGTTTTTAAATTACATGTAGTGAATTAACTGTGTGATGTGTGTCCTGATTTGAACACGTCTAGATTCATTTAATCCCACCACTGTCAGGATACAGAGAAGCCTCATCACCCCTGAAGGCTCCCCTGGTGGTAAACCTCTGTCCAGCCCTAACCCTTGACAACTGCTGATCTTGTCTTTGTCCCTACAGTCTTGTCTTTTTCAGAATGTTACATAAATGAAACCATAAGACAGGTAATTTGTTGAAACTGGCTTCTTCCACTCCGCAAATGCCTCTGAGACTCATCCAAGTTGTTATATGTACCAACAGCTCATTCTTTTTCCTGGCTTAGTAGTATTCCAATATACAGCTATACCATGGTTTGTTCAAACATTGATACAGCCTGTGGATAATCCAGGCTGTTTCTAGTTTTTGATGATCACAAATAAAACTACTATAAACATTCAGGTACAGATTTTTGTGTGAATTTAAATTTCATTTCTCTTGGGTACCGAGGAGTGAGCAAGTGTATATTTAACACATAACCTGCCACATTGTTTTTCCTGAGTGGCTGTACTATTTTGCATTCCCACTGCAGTGTATGAGTTTCTGCTGCTTCTCATCCTCATCAGCACTCAGCATTGTCTGTTTTTTTTAAAGCCATTCAAATGGTACGCAGTGTTATCTCACAATTTTAATTGGCATTTCCCTGATGGCTAGTGATGTTGAGCATCTTTTCATGGATGCGTTTGCCCTTCATATATCCTTAGTGATGAAGTGTCTGTTCAAACATTTTGCCCATGTTTAAATTGTGTTGTTTTCTGAGATCTCTTCATTTTTTCCTAATAGAAACCCTTTGTTGGACAGAGCATTTGCAAACATTTTCTCCTAGTCTGTAGCTTGTCTTTTCATTCTCTTAATAGTATTTATGACAGAACAATAGTTCTAAATTTTGATGAATTGCAATTTACTGACTTCTTTTTAATGAATCAAGTTTTTGTTGTATCTAAAAATGCTTTGTTTAACCCGAAGTCACAAAAGTTTTCCCTTATTTTTTTCCCCTTAAAAGTCTTCTTGTAATCTATTTTACATTTAGATCTACAGTGCATCTTGAGTTAATTTTTTTACAAGGTGTAAGGCTTAGGACAAGGTTCTCTTTTTGGATGAATAATTGGATGTCCAATTATTCCAATACTGTTTGCTGTAAAGACTATACTTTCTCTGTTGAACTGCCTTTGTATTTTGTTCAAACTCAATTTGCTGTATTTGTGTGGTTCTATTTCTAAACTCTATTCAGTTCTATTAATCTTGGTATCTGTCTCTTCACTATCTCTTCACTGTCTTGTAGCTTTATAGCAAGTATCAAAGTTGATCAGTATGAATCCTCTGACATTGCTCTTTTTCAAAATTGTTTGGGTTATTCCAGTTCCTTTGCCTTTCTGCTTAGATTTTAAAAGCAGCTTGTCTAAATCTATGAAATATCTTGCTGGGATTTTTATTTAAATTGTGTTAAATCTCTAGATCCATTTGAGAACAAACATCTGAACTATACTGAGTCTTCTAATTCATGAATATGGTATGTCTCATCATTTGTGTTTTGGTCTTCTCTGAAATATGGTTTTTTAAAGTTCATATATGTCTATGTTAAAACATGATTGTAAGGCACACTCTGAGGGCAAAAGTAAATACTTTTCTTTTGAGAGTCCTGTAAGAACGTGTGGCCTTGAGGCCTACAATTCAATTACATTGCTAGTGCAGGAAAACAGCTCTGGCAACTTTCTAAGCAATTTCCTTCTTTTTTTAAAAAGATTACTGAGTGCAATAAAATGCAGACACTTTTAACATGCAGGTAGAAGGCCTGAGACAAATCAGTACAGCCTGTATCCACTCCCACAGTTAAGAGAGAGTCCATCCCCATGTCCCTGAAAAGTTCCCTCTGCAGTTGGGCTGCTGCATCTCCCCCAGCTCCAGTGACCAGTGATGGCTACGGCTATGTATTAATTTTCCCTGGAATCATATACAATGTCTTCTTTTGTATCTGGCTGCTTTTGCTCAACACATCTGTGAAGTTCATTATGTTGTTGCATCTACTGGTCATTTACTCTCTTCATTGCTAAGAATTTTTTCTATCATATGAATATTCCACAATTTGGTTATCTGGGCACATCTGAGCTGTTTGCAGTTTGGGGCTATTCTGACTAAATAATTTGTGGGCAAGTCTTTATGGATGTACATTTTGATTTCTCTTGGATAAATACCTACAAGAAGCACTACTGGGTCATATGGTAATGTACTTTACGGGAAACCACTAAACTAACTTCTAAAGCAGTTGTACCATTTTACATTTCACCATCAATGCATGAGAATTCCAGTTAACCACTTCCTCATCAGTGCTTGGAACTGCTGGTCTTTTTTGCTTTGGCTGCTCTTGTGGGTGTGAAGGAGTATCTCACTGTGGCACTAATTTGCATTTTACTGAAGACTAATGATTTTCATCAGGCTGGTAGAACTTGACTGCACAGTTAACTTGGCAGTTACCCGTGGCAACTAGGACCTTACTGCCTACCTGGGTCACAAGTTATCAAGGAAAGTTTGAGCCAGGGAGCAGGCAGGAAGCAAGAGTGAAGGACTGGGCATGCACCCCAGTGTGTGCTTGGAGCTATCCATGTTTCTATCTCCTGCTGTTAGATCGATGGTGGAATGCATCTGAAGTCTTAGGGATCAGGAGCATTTTTATAAGGCACAAGAGTAAGAAAACCCTTACCTGCTATTTTCCTCCGCATCCACGGACACACGAAGAGCCATACGAAGAGGGCGAAGAGCAGCGCCACGCCGAGGGAGGTGAGTGCTATCGCCCAGATGGGGAGGACCAGGCCCAGCACTGGCAGATCAAAGTGAGAGCAGGGTCATCAATGGACACCGAAAGGTCAGACCTCATCTCAGCACACTTTCCATTCCCCATATTTAAAACAAAGTTAATGAAGCTCTCAACCAAAAAATACGCTACACCTTTTGGGGTAGAAAACTCTGGGTTTAAGATGCACCACACCTTGTGACTATACAGTCAAACTGGTTAGTAAGCTAATTATTAAAATGGTCCCAATTTGGCACAACAGCATATTAAGTTGGGAATAAAACCGTTTATGTATTGTCTTAGTGTCTAGACTGCTGAGTGGATTCCTGAGAAAGGAGGCCTGTCTTTGGTCCTGGCAGCCAGCTGGCTCCTGCGGCAGCAGGCACGGAGGGCAGGCCCCGCGCGGCTTCTCAGGAGCCAGCCAGCAGGTGCTGCTGGAAAAGAACATGACATCCTGACCAGGTACACAAACATTTTTAAAAGTCAGCTTTGAAATAAAAGTTTTTTGAAAGGACATTTATCTTCAAATGTAGCTTTTCTTTGAAGTGTCACCTCACGGAATTCTGGAGACTCTTCACTCAAACCCAGTCGCGCACACTAAGCTGTGATTACGGCAGCCAAGAAAAAGGCAGACGAGCCCATGGCTTAGGAGCACTGCAGTCTCCCGGCCCTGTGACGCATCCCCGAGCGTATCGCCCAGAATCTGGTACATCTCCTGGCACTGGAAGCAACAGGCACACTTCACATGTTCACAGTGTACAACTTAAATGTGCACACTTACACAGGAGCACGAATATGTGTGCATAAATCCTTACCATGGCATTATTTGTAATAGTAAGAATTTTCAAGAATACTAATAGAATCTTTGTCAAGGAAATGTGAAATAATTACAGCACAGAGTCATAAAAATGAGGTAGAGTCACTTAGACTGATGAGGAAAGAGCCCAAAATCTAGTGTGTTAAGAAAGGCTACGTGCATAATGGTACTCATAGTATGACCCAATTTATGTATAAAAAGGAAAACAACCACACATGTACAGTCCTACTATATACATGAATTACAGGAAAAGTTCTGGAAAGATACAATGATTAATCCCATGGAGAGATGGGAAACTGGAGGGGGCTTTCACTTCTGACTTATGTATACTTTTGTATATACTTTTGAACATACATAATGACATCACTTTTGTAAATTGTTAAAAGTCTGTAAGTTTTAAAGGAGTGAACTATTTAAGCTTTGCTCTTTGCTCTTAGATTAAATAAATCTTAAGTGATTCAGGCTTTGTTACACTGTTAACCATTTTTTATCTATAACTCAGTTATTCAATGAAGGTATGGTTAAACATTTTGGTAATTGTTAAGAGGAAGAACAGATACTTAATACTATAAATGGGATGTCAAGAAAAATGAAAAACCAGAATGCCTAGCTCAGGGGCCACCAGGGGAGAGAACAGACCTCAGGGGCTAGACCGTTCCACTCCGAAGCTCCCCTTAGCGGGCCACCCAGCTCTGCGGCCGGCTCTGCTGCGAATCCGAAGCCTGGAGCCGCCTGCAGAGCAGCTGGGGCCCCCTCACCTCACGGGGCCCGGCCTGTGGGCCCCGGCGTCCTGGCTTCTGCTTTACATCCCCTCCGCAGTGTCTTAATACCTGTGATAGAGGATCACTCCTAAGCGCTTGGTTGCCAAACGGAGTGGTAACTGTATCACCAACATCAAACTGACGGTCCAAACCACATCTACACAAGCCTCGCGGCCAAAGGCGTTTGGTTTTTGCGGAGGTTCCTCGGTGGCTCCCGGTGTCGCTGACGGTAAAGTTGCAAACTGCGCTACTGTCAGCTTCACTGTGTCACCTGACCTAAGGGGGGCTCGCCCTGGAACACGGAGGGGACACAACTGTTTGGAATATATATGTAGTGTACTTATCTGTTTATCTGTCATCTATTCATTATTTTTCAGTGAGTGAACACGTTTGTTCTCAGGCGCTATTTTTTTCCATCCGTGCCGAGTAGAGCCCAGCACAAATGCGGAGAAAACGCCGCACATGCTCCTGCCGAGCCCATCTCCACGCTTCCTCCTGGGGGCGTGTGGGAGTCCCAAGGGTGTCGGGACCAGCACCCACAAGGGAAAAGCAGAGGAGGTTACGAGGCTTTTGCCCCTTGGCCTGGGCAGTAACAAGGCACAATTATCCCCTGCCCTCTACTTTTACCATCTCAACGGGTTGGTTCGGCCTGGGAGGCGGCCCCAGAGCTCTGAAGCCACCTGCCTAAGTCAGAGGAAACCGGGAGAGCTGGGGATGAGCACATCACCGGGGGTGCGGTGGGGAGACAGCGGAAAACCGGGGAGGAAGAAGAGCGGGGCAGGCAGGGCAATAGGGGCACACGGGAGGAGAGGGGGCACCTTGGGGACAGAACTCGGATCTCACCCAATCACTCCAGCAATCTGGTGATACGACGGTGCTTCGAAAGGACATGGGGGTTTACTTGCATTGCCTGCACATGAGAAACGCCCCCCCCCCAGTTACTGATGTCACATAGCTCTAAGTTGGACTAAATGTATAAAATTATACTTCATGGATAAAAAATAAATACACACAAATTCAGTGCTGGGAGGCTCTGGAATCAATGTGCATCCAAGGGAAAATCTTTTCTCTGCTGAACACTCAAGGTTGGCTTATAAATGACGAATTTTTTGACAAAAATTCTTTGTATTGAGTTGTCTCCCTGTAAGGATCTCAAATTGGTTTCCAAAGCTTACATGTCTAGACGGCAACAGGCATGGGCACCACTCCACTCTGTGGGCAAAGTGGGCAGGCCGTGGCCTCCGTCGCTCCCGCGGCCTCATCCAGGAGCCGCTGTGAGGAGCCCGGACTGGGTGCTCCGCCCCTGCCCTCCGCCCCCAACAGGCGGCCCCCTTCCCAGGCTCCTTCCTCGTCTGGGCAGCGCAGGAGCCCGGCAGAGGTGCCCAGTGCGCCGCAGGGCGACTGATCTGCAGTTCTGCCCAAAGCCTGCCGCGGCCGGGATGCGCAGTGAGCCGGGCAAGAAGTGCGCGGAACTTTTAGAAACACTCAGTCTTCCAATGTCAGTACTCTTTATACCCTTTTCATATTTAACAGTCATTATTAGAATCTATAGAATAAATAAAACGTCTATAAAATCCAGAAGGCATCCAAGAGAAAACCTTTTCTCTGCTGAACACTCAAGGTTGGCTTATAAATGACAAATTTTTTGACAAAAATTCTTTGTATTGAGTTGTCCCGTATTTACCAGTATTAGTCCTTCTACCCTCCTCCTCAGTCTCTCTACAACTTTCCTGCTTTTCTCTGTTTTAATTTTATAAATAGCATATGCTTATTATAAATGTATCAGAACAAAATTTTCTAGGTATTAATGTGGAAACTCCCCTTTACTCTCCCCTCTGGAACCCGGTTCCTAGAGAGGCACTGTTGACTACTTGGTGTGCCTCCTTTCAGGCATTTTCTAGATAGAAACACAGTGTCAAGTGCTTATCAGAATTTTTTTCCTTTTAAAAAAATTTAACAGATGTAGATGGGGTCTATATTGCTCTCCACTTTCATTTCTCACACACAACATACTGGGGACATCCTTCCGCATGAATACACACACACATTTACTTCCTACACTGCAGAATCCTTCCTTACCTGAAAGAAACGTTTCTTTTAGAGTAAAATGTTCACAGCATTAGAGGAGCCCCTCCCTAGTGGTAAAAGGAATCTGGAAGCAACTTTTGTTAAGAAAGTGAAGCTTTCTTTTGAAACAGGAAAATGCTATTTCCTAGTTCGCCCTATAATTGGGATTTCTTCTGCATATGTAGCAGCTTTCTCAAACCAGGGTTCATTTATAGTGATCCTGAAAAGGGAAATGGAAATATGCTCAATCCAGCCCTTGGTGACAACTGAAGACGCCTCCCTGCCAGCGCTGCCCAGCCCAGGGCTCCCCCGCAGCGGGGAGCTTCCAGGCGGTACCGGACAACACGCAGGTCCTCCTCTCAAAGCCCTCGGGCCCCAGGGGGCCTCAGGGGCCCTGGGGCTCCGGCTTCTTTGGAAATGAATCAGCGGAGCTGTACCTGAAGGGGGACAGGGGAGGGGAAGGAGGGAGAAAGGGGGGAAGGGAGGAGATGGGGGAGC